TTTAATTCATTTGAACTATTTCTGATATCTTTGGTGTTTAAGTGATTTGTAACTCCTTTCTGTTTTTGTTCTTTCTTGGATGTCTGTGTGCTTTGAGTCATTCTTGAATACAGTAGAAAAATGTTATCCTGTTTTAAACTTAATGAATTTGCTGTGGATAATTTTAAATAGGAATTCTCAAACAGGGTATAAGGGTAAATGCTCTGCCAACTTTTTAAAAGGGAAAATAAATAAGAAAATAACATTTTAAAACACCTCTCTTATAGATTGTAGAGGAGAACAGTCAAAATTATTTATCTCTAGGACATGGACAAAGGAAAATTAATTCAAATGACCCAACCCCAATTGATATAAGACCTAGCAGCACACTGTTCAATTCCATGCAAAAACTCATATGTAGTAATTAAAATTGTTACTTCAGAAAAATACTCCTTGATCCTTTCAATAAATTTATTATAAATATTCGTGGAAATATATGAGACAGAGGGAACTAATTTAAGTATTAAAAGGAATTGAACACTTGCTGATCTCATCAGCTGGTCAACTTCTTCATGGCATTTCTAAGGCTGGTTCCAGAAACACGGTACTGGGTAATCTGCACTCCTAGCCTGAAGGTCAGATACAAGGCCATAACACTGCAGCTATAATTTTGAAAATTAAAAAACTTGGTACAGATCTTGACTTTGAGTCATAGTGTAAAAGAAGTCATTGCAAATTGCCTGCCTGTTTTATATCTCTGCTGATTTTAATTTCCCTTCAAGTGCTGCTGACTCACTATCATCTATGTTATACAATTACACAAAGAATTAGCACCTTGCAGTACAGCAATTTATCTAGAGTGCAAGATGGCAGACTCAGCCTTCACTTTCACTTTAAAAATGCTAGCAGCTTTGAAGGGAATGACTGTTTTGAATTCTGGGAGACCAAGGCCAACTTGTCCCTTTATCTTAATGCATGTAGTTGTTTCCCTACTGTTGCTGTAAAATTAACTCAATCATAAAATAAACACAAAGGCAGCACTCTCAGACCTGAACTCTATATTGCCATACTATACCTTTCAGTGGGTGTAAAAAGACTCAATCTAGTCACGTGCACATAGTTAAACTAACAGAACACCACCAAGATTGGAAAATGAAACAGCAATTAGATTACGTAAAGTTTAAGGACGTAAGAAATAGGAGATGTAGTTTGCATGGCCCCTCAAGCTCTCTTAGGTACTTGATCTGATCAACTCCAATATCTTACCTGTTCTTCATTCTCCTTAATTCCTTTGCAGTTCAAAAACTCTCCTTCTAGCTTTGAGTATTTTCAACCATACAGCTCTATATTTTCTGCTTCAGTATCAAGCATGTGGCCCTCTGCATCTTTCTCACCACTTGCTTCCCTACCTATCTATACTTTAAGCAGTTGAAACTCCAGCACTGAACGTGATACAGTCTGTCAATCTGAAAATGACCAATATATACTTTTTTTTAAAATGGAATATATTTGTGTTGAGAAGTTTTAAAAGACGTTGCTGGCTATGCTAGCATTTGTTGACCATCCCGACTTGCCCTTGAAAAAGTGGTAATGTACCCATTTCTTGAACCATTGAAGTCTTTATGGTGTACGTACACTAAGTCAGGATGGTGTGTGGGTTGGAGGGAAATCTGTTGGCAGTGGTATCACCTTAAATGTTTGTTATTGTTTATGGTCCATCTACTTAGTCTATTTTCCCAGTACACTTCAGTCAACCTTGCCTTCATTATTTTGTAATTACCCTTTGTTGGGAAAACAGGTTTATATTTTTTGATTATGTGAAAAAGTGGAAATTATTAAACTGTCTGGACACTTTCTAAATTAAAAGGAGGTTTTTTGTTACCAAGAACTCAAAGGGGGCACATGTGGTTTCTCGGAATTGAGGTCAATGATTTAACCTGAGTTGTGAGCCACCAGCTGATCACAGAAAGTAAAATGACTTTAGAAACATAGTCAAGCAAAGTCTTTAGGGAGATTTGTTGCCCTCAACTGCACAGGATCCTGTGCTGGTGTTTGTCTCGGAACCCTTTCTGGACTTTGTTCATAAACCTGGGAAAACATAAGGTAAAATAAAAGATAACAAGGTGTAGAGCTGGATGAACACAGCAGGCCAAGCAGCATCAGAGGAGCAGGAAAGCTGACGTTTCGGGTCCAGACCCTTCTTCA